TAGCCTGTCTCTTTGCAAGAGACTTGGTTTTCACCTTAGCACCTGGGTTCATTATTGACAGTGGAGAATGAGAGTGGTGGATATATCGAGTACAAGATTTTGGGAGAGATGTTGAGTGCTTTTACATGATTCGCTATCACAGTAGATTTGCTAAGTAAGTGTTGAATCTGGGTTACCAGTGGCAAACAGTAGGACAGTAGCGTGGTTCCTGCTGCTGGTAGAATAAACTCAATGACTTTTCCTCCTCAAAAGTTAGCATTTTCTTGTACTTAATTCCTTTGTGGGAGTATGTAAATATAGGTGTCAGCTGTATTAATCATCAAATAACTGGTATTAGACTGGATCTCAGTGGAGCTAGTGAGGTACAAACTGAAGCTCCCTATGTGGAAAAATTACTCTATTTGGGTGGCCAAGGAACCCTATTCTGATGTTGCAGAATAGATTTTATTGTGATATTTACTGGTATTTATGTTTCACAGCCTCACAATAAAACAAAAGGAGAGTCCAACCATGTAAGGACTCTAAAAATGTTATCATATAACAATTTGTCTCTTTCCCAGAGTTTTCCTTACTAGGAAAACAAGATTTAACTAGGGCTTTCTGATTGAAAATACAGGGAACGTGTACTTGGCATAAACCTCATCCAAAGCCCACAACAATGAGCAGAATTATCTCTGTGATGATCTTACTTGCTTTATTTGAGCCATTTCTTCTTGTTGATTTGTGGAAGTTTTAATACCCTTACTGCTATCCCTAGAGCTTATTCTGAATTTGTTTCAACACATTCCAAAACTCACTGCTTGGGAAGAAATCCACTGAATGAATTAAATTTCACTTTATTATACAAAACCTCAACTATTTCATGTGGCCCTGGTTAATCGCATGGTTTGATTTTTTAAAGTAAACACGAAATATCCTAGATGCACTTGCATCTGATCACAGCTTTATACAGAAGAGCTCATGAACCTTGTTAGGAATTCTCAAATTTGTAATGAAAGCAGATTATTTGGCATGGTTTTAATTCAATTCTGATAGCTTGATATTTTTTAGATACATTGGAATAGAAAGTCTAAACACGGCCATTTCTGTAGTAGCATAAGCATATCTCTATTCCTTGTCATTTGGAATTTAAAGTTAGAAATGTCCAGGCTGATAAAGGAAAATCCAGAATGCTTACACATTTATGCCAAATCTGTCCTGTTTGTACTATCCTATGATTTAAAATGTTTAATAGAAATGTTTTTTGCACTGTTTGAACTGATCCAGGGACCATAGTCAGCTGTTGTCCTTTGAGAACCTGCTGAAATGCTAAGAGTAAATACCAAATTAGCCTCTTGGATGTCTTATGAATGAGTTAGGAATTTCGCCACATATCACATCATAAATTGGTCCACAAATTGGTGGTGTTCACTTTTTTGTTAATGTTTCCTTGAAGTCACTGGAAGCCACTTCAAGGGCAGCTAAAAGAGCAATGAGACAGGAGCTTAACTGAATATATATCCTGACCTTACTGTAGAAACTGCAGGGTGTGGAAGAAGTTCCAAGCCAGGCAACACAGCAATTTCTTTATGTATAGCACACAAGATCCCAACAGGGCCACGCTCACTAATAAAGAAGCAACAAAGAAACAAGTGGATGTGGTAAAAGGAAGAATAAAGATATGGATAAAATTAAAATCCCACTATAAGAAATATCCTGTGCACTTTTCCAAATTAGTATATAAATTTAATGCTTGATTTGTCACAGCTTCAATTATTTAATTCCTCCATCACTGCAAAACTAGATCTCTTTTAATTATCACTCTACACCCTCAGTGAAGAGCCTGTATCTGTTCCTTATTTTACAGCTTGCTTAGGTTCTTCCCACTCCCTTTCAACAGCCTTGGTGCTTTGATGTCATGCTCTCTGCCCAGATTGCCAGAAGGCTTGCAGTGGCAAATGCAGGTGTTTTTTGCCTATTGGACAAAGCTGTGTTGTATTATTCATCAACTCAATCACAAGCTGTATTAGTAGGACACTTACACAGAGAACAAAACGGGAGTAATTGGGGAAAAGGAGAAAGACGGTGCTCAGGGAGACAGGGTTGGCAATGGAGGAACTGTGTTTGAGATTTGTATAGCTGCTTTCACCTGTATTTTGCATGTCGTTTATCTTTTAAATACTGTTTTTTTTTTTAAATCTAAAAGTCCATCTTGCACACTAGCTTGATAACTTCTGAGGGGTACAGTTCTCTTTACGGATATTGCCTAGAAATCATCATTATCTGTAAGTGTTACATGCAGGTATGTTTTCCTAGTTTTTGTAGTGGTAACGCTTGGGGCAAGTGGCACCTGCAAAAGCCAAGTTCATGAGCTGATGAAAATCATCAGAAGCATGAGCGAATGCTCTGCACCTCAGTCTGGAGGCTTGCTGCACAGGAAGATGAGCACCCTGATCCTGCCTATAAGGGTTTCTCTAATTCCTGCTGTTGTTCTGTGCTAACCTGGTGTGTCGGAGAGAGAAACAGGCCAGCTGGAGAAGGAGGCGCTGGAAACGTCAAACATGACACTGTAAGAGGATAACATAGGATCAGGGTTGGGGAGGATGAGGAAAGGGGGTCAGAGGCATAGGTAAGGAGGAGGGCTTGGGACAGATATTGAAGAAAAGTTGACTTGTATTTGTTTTCCTTACCCCCTATAACTTTTTTGATATTTTTTTTCCCCTGTCTTATCAGCTCACCCCAGATGGATACTATGCTGTGTGCACCCCTATCTTCCAGGACAGACTGTCAGTCTTCCGTTTTGAATGTCTAATGTCTCCCTGTGCTTTTATTTGTGAACACAGACTTGGTCTTAGGCTGTTTGAATGACAGCTTGCACTTCCGTGATTCAGATAGCTCAAAGCTTCAGAGGGATCTTTTTGACATGCTCATCTATCAGGCCTTATACTTAAGTTTTTTTTTAAATGCATCTTCTACTAATCAATCTTGAGAGCTTTTGGCTCTGAAGATGAGAAACTCTTCTTGTTTGCTCAATTCCTTTGCTCTTTGCTGCGGAGGCTTCAGTAAATGGCTGTGGTTAAAAAGCATGCAGCACAGTGCTGGTAGGTGGGCATCTGGACCAGTAACACTCCCGTGTGTGTGGGCACTGCTGGGTGTTTTACTGGTGCAGGACGTGCCTGATGGGAGCTGGGATCTGTCAAGTCTGGTGTCTGATGCTAGTCAAGAAAGCAGCAAGTTATGTTCTAACGCATAGATGGGGGATAATTCTTCTGTAATGTGAGCTCTCATTTGGGTTTCTGGAAAATGTTTACATTTGATCTTCTGGGTTTGAAACAAGAGAGTCTTTCAAAAGTTTGTAAGAATGAATGATATGGTAGCATTACTGGTATGTGTTGAGGATCCACTTTTCAAATCTTATTGGATTCCTGGCCCCAGCCATATTCTTTGGTTGTGAGCTCTACTACCCAGCACTGCTGTGAGAGGGGAAAACCAAATTTCCTTTAATCAGATTTTAATTTCCTACATTATAATGTAATCATGTGCCTCCTTGTGATATAATCAGGAGAGTGGAAGTTCTTGTTTTGGTGTTCTGTTCTCCTATTCTAGATGGTCTACTTCTAAAACCTTGTATCTATTTTCTCAGGTAAAAAGTTTTCTCCTCCTCTGCTCGGTTGTGCATCCTTCCATACTCTTCATCATTCACCCTCCCTTCTAATTTTGCAGTTCTTCACAAGGGGATAGCCTGTACTGTATGCTGCTTCACAGGAGTTCACAGCACCAAGCGGAGGAGCAACATAGCAATTTGGAGCTGGGCTAGCAAGGCACATCTCTCACCCAGCTGCTTGCCTCTGGCTTTATCTTTACCGGGGCAACATGTGCCAGACTTTACTGTTCAAGTGAAAGCCTATTCTGTGTGGAGAGATGACTAGAACTAACAGGAAATCGTCTTTTTCTCTGAATTTCTCCTTCAATGGAGTACACCTATTATTAAAAAAAAAAAAAAAAAAAAAAAAAAAAATCCGACTATTGTGGGCCATCTAGAGATTATTCAGAACACCGATAGTCCCCCGGAGCCGTGGCAGCTTCCCCAGCCCTGTCGCGGGCAGCAGCTCCTGGGGGTTTGCGGTCGCGCTGGGCCGGGTGCTGTCGGTTGAAGCCACCCTTTTCCAGCGGGTCTCGGCAGGGCGAGGCGCGAGGCGTGGCTGCCGCAGCCCAGCGGCGCCTCTTGCCCTGTGGTATCTGGCTCCGGGGCAGGCGGGGCGGCTGCTGCAATTCCGAACCGTGCTCCCTCGCCGCCCCTCCCCCCACCGCGGCGCGAGCAGCGCTGACCGTTGGGCGGCCGTTGGGCGCCCGGGGCGGCCGTTGGGCGCGTTGCGCGCCTGGGG